ACACACACACACACACACACACACACACACACACGTCTCCACTGGCCCCACTGGGCTTTTCCACTAGCTCGAACTACTTCAGGAAAGTGGACACGGGAAGTCTAGTGCTAGATCTGGGTTGGTAGCAGTTACCTGAGAAGCTCCTGGACCCTGAAGATGGGGACACAGTTTTGGCTTTGAAAAGCTCCTAAGGGCCACAGTGTAGCACAATTTTGAGGCTGGAGCTGTGTGATTTATTATTGTTCTTGTGTTCCCACGAGTTTCATGCAGAAAAGTTATCCTGAAGCAAGTCAAACACTGGTGTTTTCCGTAACTGATTTACGCACTATCAAGGTTGCTGGTGCCACAGAGAACGGGGAATCTGTGATTGCAGCAAGCTCGGCTCCAAGATTCCTTCTCTTCTGTCTCCCAGGAAGTCTTCCCCTGGGAAGCAGAGCCTGTTCCCTCACATGCACACCCTTGACTCTGGGCTCTATTTAAGATCCCTGAAGCCAATCCGAAGGAGCCCTGCAGCATCGCCTGGGCTCTCAGGATGGTGGCTGGAGGGATTTCTGCTACTCCAAAACCTCTCTGCATGTAAAGGGAGGCCCTGGGCAGTTCCTGGTGCCAGGCATGGCAATGTAGGAGCTGTTTTGGATATACCAGTCCCAGTAGACGTCACATGGTTCAGATCCCAACCACAGAGCTCCTGAAGCCATTTGTGCCACCTCCTCCCAGCCTGGACGTGGTGGAGCAGAATGAGCTACCTGAGTGCCCCAGATGCGCTTTGGTTTTAGCCCTGTAGCACAGCACTGATGCCTGCAAGCCCTGTAGTAGCTCAAGCTAAAAACAGACCGAGCGCCAGTGCGGACAAGGCTGATGTATGAAAGAGACAGGTGTTGCTCTTTCCTGTTCCCCATGGCCCTGGTTTATGTCTCTGTTATGAAACTTGCGAGCTGCGCTGAACATTCTGCACAGCAGAGTTCACAGTGGAGAGCTTGGGATTTCGAGACCAACACTAGCAGAGTGGTCTGAAAGCAAGTTGCTTGGCCTCTCCAAGTTTGCATCTTTATCTGTTAAGTGGGAGTAAAGAGTCCCAGTGTCATGGAGTGATCAACTCCAGCGCCTAAGTGTGCTTAGTGACGGTCACACGTTCTGTTCAGTCAGTCAGTCAATTGCAAAGATGGCTCATAGAGGATAAAACTGCTTTAAATCCATTCTTTTGTGTTTTCTCCCTGCAACTCTCTTTCAGTAGTGGAGATCGAACTCAGGGCCTTTACACCATGCCCTTTAAAACCCTCTCCTCCTTTTGACATAGAGTCTTGCTAAGTTATTCAAGCTGAGCTCGAATTTGTGATTATCCTGCCTCAGCCTTCTGGGGTACTGGGATCATAGATGTGCACCAGGATGCCTGGTTCATACTCATCTTAAAATTCATTTTACATTTAATACATGGAACACAGATCCTAGAGTAAAGATTGGTGAACAGAGCACAAAATGTTAGGTAACAAATTTTAAGATTGACTTTTGAAACATATATTGCCTGTATATTAGGAGCCAATTGTTTTAGGCCACTGGAATGTGTTATTTCTACCTCGAAGCCCCGTAAGAATCTGGTGTTGGTGAAAAAGTTACTTCAATTACTTCTCACATTTTAGTCCTAGTGGCTGGACAGGGTCCTCATGAGCACGCAGGGCAAGCTGGTCTGTGGACACCATGGGAGGTGAGGGGCTCACAGGGGCAACTGGCCGCTCAGGGTAGGATTCCACGGCACCTATTTCCTCCCTCTTTGCATTTAGCATTGACCATTAGTCCTTTTTATGAAAGGATCAGGAAACTCAGGATGACAGAAGGAGCAGTTGGAAACACGGAATCTGCAGGGCTGGGGATTTAGCCCAATGTCATAAGTGCCTGCTTGGTAAATATGAAGTTGCCATTTCGATCCTGGTACCAAAAACAAAAACAAAAAAAGGAATCCGCTCCAGGAGACTCCATGACCTTCGTGTCTGCAGCCCACCCTGAAGCATCTGCCCCATTTGTCATGATGACTTAGCCTGGGGTGGGGACACAGCTAAAAAGTCCCTTTTCACAGTGGTAACACATCTAATGGGATGCAATTTAGTTTTTATAATGTTAAGATTGGTTTACGTTCAGCCAGGTGTAATACCAGCACTCAGGAAGCTGAGACAGGAAGGCCACTGAGAGCTCAAGGCCAGCCTAAGTTATAAAGCGACAGCCTGCGTAAAAACCAAAGGCAAGACAAAACAAAACAAGATTAGGGTTTCATCTCTATTCACAATCTTCTATTTTATTACTCTACAGATTAAATGTCCTACCCTAATTTACCTTGCTGTCTGGTGACACCTAACACATTATTCCTCAGTTAAACTAACCCAAAACCACAAAATATCAATTTAGCTGTGAAAGTGTATTTACTGTTAAGTCTCAAATGGGCAATGAGACACAGATGCCAATGAAATAGACTTGTGAATCTTCAATTCCTTTTGTGTTTGCCTTGGGAAGAAAAAAAAGAAAAAGAATAAAAGGCTTCTGTCTCCAGCTCCGGTGCAGACAGTTCCACTTATGGTACGTGTTTCAATCAAAATAGGGCCACAGGGAAAATGTGTCTGCAACTAAGTAAATGTGTGAGCATTTCGTTGGACGCTACCAGCCAAAGAGCGCTGTCCACGCTGTCCACGTAGTGCAGGTTGGAAAAAAAGAAGTCAGTTTTGTACGAGGGCGCTAAGGGAAACACCCTTCTGCTGCTCATGCCACATAGAGTGACTCATCTCCGTGAGTTTCAGATTTCACTCAACTCAATTAAATTTTTCTAAGAAAAGCACGCTAGGGGTGAGGCTACGAGAGTGGGGGAACCCAGATGCTCAAACCCTGAAACCCACAGCTGTGTGGCCACACTCTGAAATAAATGTCTCCAAGAATGGAGATTTCTGTTCCCGTTTTAGTTCTGCATCATGTGAAACCGATGACATCTTAAATGTCCTAGTATGTGCAAGACAAGAGGAACTCTTTTCAACCCTGAGGGTTAAAGTCAATGCAATTCACTTGGAAGGAAGGAGCAGGCAAAAGAAACCGGATTGAAGAGCAAATACTTATTGAACAGCAAATTCTTACATGGATGCTCGTCAGTGAGCTGACTGACCACAATCTACCCCACCCCTCTAACTTTTCTTTGCGCTAGGGATCAAACTCACGTGATCAAACTCAAGTTTGCCAAGCAGACACTTACACCACTGAGCTACCCCCCCCCCCACCTCCTTTGTTTAAACAGGGTCTCGCTATGCAGTTCAGGCTGGCCTTGAACTCACTGTGTATCCGAGGTGGACCTCAAACTTTCATTCTCCTGACTCTGCCTCCCTAGTGCTGGGATTACAGGGCTGTGCCATCACACCCAGCCACAGAATACTCAGTTTACATGGGAGAAAAACATGTAAGGTGTATAGAAATGGGATTTCACACATATAATTCAGCATTAACCCTAGGTCTTGTTTATAAGAACTTAATCTAGCAAAAAATAACTTAATCTTCAGGAAAATCAACTTTGCCCAAAACGTAACATTAATAGTAAAATACTATCAGCCTAAAAGTTCTACCAGACTGATAGTCAGTATACTATTAATGTGTCAGGATCCGGTTATAAGCTTGTTCAGCCTGATGGCTTCTAAATAGCGGAAACACAGAAGTGTGCAAGGTCCAGAATGCAGTGATATTTCTTTTTGAGTTCTAAAGCTCTCTTGCTTTAAAGCATTAGAGTACTCGCTTTTATTTTGAATGCTAATTTTATTTTCATTTAATTACCTGTGATAAATATCTAGAAGGTAAAACTTTCCTTCTGCTTTTTTCAGTTCCTGTGACACTTTGTTTTGGATTTCAGGCCGTCCTGGAACTCACTCCATAGTCCAGGCTGGTCTTGAACTTAGTAAGTGTTCCCCTTCGTTCGTGGCTATTTCTAATTTTTACTTACATGAAATTCAGATATATGCAGCAACTTAGCCAAAGTAAATTTCTTTTTTTTTTTTTTTTTTGTCTTTTTCCTTTTTATCGGTACCAGGGATCAAACTCACGACTGCCTGCTTGCAAGGCAGGCGCTTATGCCACTGAGCTAAATCCCCAGCCCCAGTCAAAGTAAATTTCAAAACTGGTAAAACCAATCTGAATCAGGATCATAAAAGAAGGAAAGCAGCTCCAATCCATCCCGAAGGCTGAGGGCTTCGTCTTAACACCTTGTCAGGAAGGGGCCTCACCCCAGCTCCAGGCTGAGCCGGCGACCTGATGACTGATGTGGCTCTGAGACCCACCGAGCCCACAATTATTTCAGCCAAGGTCTTGTGGGGTGACGACTGCTCCCTGCAGCGCTGTGAGCTGACGTCTCCCCCAACATGCTCTCCCTATCCAGACTTCCCCACGCACCCTATCCTTCTAAGCCTCAGCTTTTTGTCTCTGTTGCCCCTTTGAGTTGGCTGCAAGGATGCGGAGGGCCAGACTGGAGGCCACTTCTGCCTCACACTGCTGTCAGGTGCTGCTTCTGGGAACTGAAGGGGCTTCACCGGGGCCAGGCAAGGGCTTTACCCCCGAGACGTCCCTAGCCCTGGCGTGCACTGAAGGGCTCTTGGCTGAGTATTTTCCATTTCCTCTCCGGCCTCACTTTAACAGGCATTATTGCACATGTGTGTCTCTGCAAGGATTGCTAAAAACTTCCTGAAACAAGAGACCGCACTAACACACTGACTCTAAATCGGGGAGAGTGAGTGTACTATAGTGACACAGGCCCCTTGGGTCTCATGTGTCAGGGACTGAACATTCCTTAGCAGATTTATCTTTTCCCTGGAGCAATACTGGACTTACAGGAGTCTGAATTTCATGTGTGGATTCAAACTGCTCCAAATGAGTGTTTTCCAGAAGTTTATGAATTTCCAAAAATGTTCCTTAAGAAGGTGAGTCATTCAGCATAAGAGATGTGATCAGGAATGCGCTTGGTTGTGGTACACTACACAACACAGACACCCAGAGGTGGAATCTTTATTTCACAAGGTTCAAGATACAGTACAAAACGAATCTGTACATCTCTCTATTAACAGGGTTTGTTTACACAATTATATTACACTTCGCCAGCCTGTATACTGTATTTCATTAAATACAAAATCAATTTACAAAAAGAATCTACCGTGGTGTTCCTTTACAATGCCAGCTTAGGGTCTTTTAAAACTTCCTCTCCTAAATATTCATAGTGGTTACTTTGATCATATCAACATTGTTCAATGAGAGAGAAATAGTGTTAGCTGGTGTGTCAATCCAAGGAGTAAACACAGGACACGTGAGAGGGCACCCTGCATATAAACAGGACCCTTCTCATGTTAACAAATATTAGATTTCTACTTGTGTAAGCAGTCCCTTTCAGATACAAATTACTGTACTTGGGGGATTTTAAATTTTCTTCAAATACCAGCTGGATGGAAAAATTTAGTTTCTCAATGACAAAACATTTAAAAACCAGGTAACCCCTCAGACAATATACCATTCAGAAATTTTACATTTTCACTATTTGAGTAACGAATGATGAGAACATACACATAAAAAAGTTTTTTTTTTTTGTTCTATCATTTCTTGCATATTTCTAGTCACAATATTGAATAATATATTAAGTTCACTTTAAAAACAAATGCTGGCTGTCACTGGAACAAATATAGCCCTGTTCTTTTTGCCAGGTAAAAACCTGACACTTCTTGTTTTGAAATGTGCATGTGATCTGTTAGCCCAAGCCTCTGTCAAGGAAGTTTTTGCAGATACAGTCAGACTTAGTGTAAGGTGTGGTGGCACACACCAGTAATCCCAGCACTCTGAAAGGCTGAGGTGGCCGAGGCAGGAAGATCCCAAGTTTGAGCCCAGGCTGGGCAACTTAGCGAGACCTTGTCTTGAAACAGACATTAGTACACATGCTACACACAAGAACAACTATGGTTTTCATTTAAAGGTCTGCATGCAAACTTCCAAAACACTGGTTTGAAGAACAACGTAAGGAGCAAGGTGAAGGAAAAAATAAAAGAAAAAAATGCTACACGTGTGTCTGTGTGTGTGTTTCTAGAAGGTTTAATCATCAGATCATTACCAGACTGCTGGTGGCTCTCTAAGCTTCGCCAGTGGTACAGAGACAAAACAGTTTGGTGGTAAAACTCTCAGAAATTACCCTTAAACACAGAAGAGCAGCAAAACCTCTAGAATCAACATTAATAGTTCATAATCTGATTTAAATTCTAAACAGTCAATTTTGGAAAAAAACCACCTTTCATTTACCTTTTCTTTCTTTTTTGGTCTTTTTCTTTTTTATCGGTACCGGGGATCGAACTCACGACCACCTGCTTGCAAGGCAGGTGCTTATGCCGCTGAGCTAAATCCCCAGCCCTTCATTTACGTTTTCTGTGCCACTGACTATTAACCAAAAGTAAGACAAGTCTCACCTATAAAACAGAAACAAAAATTTTAAGCACAAAAAGAAAAACAACAACAAATGAACAACCCTCCCCAAAAAACCAAAATACACACACCCACACACACACACACCTATGTCACCCTGGTAAAATAAGATAGAAGCAAAACAGGTGGTTTTAAGATTCTGAAACTTCTGGCTGGCCAACAAAGCAAAGCACGAGAACTGAAACTGAACTGTCCGGGCAGCTCTGACAGCTGAGAACACAGAGGTGCCAGGAGATGGGCTGCAGCTCCACTGGCAAGTCTACACCCTAACACTACGACTCCTGAGCCCTGGAGTTAGTTTAATGTCACTGACATTAACTAGCTTGAGTTATTGTTATTTTATTCAAATGGATGCCATTTGATTAGATAAGTAAGTACTGTGCATTATTTTTAGGAGAAAAACCAAACCCAATTCCTATTTGCTTAGGTACCACGTATCATGAACCAAAAGATACAGGGAACCAAGTATTTTGAGACAGTCTTTTAAAAGAAGCTGTAAGGGCTGAGTTATTTTAAACATACCATCTAAACTTTTGGAAGCAAAAGGCCCAGGGGAAAACAGGAGGTAGAGACACGCCAAGGAAAGGCTATCTGCAGCATTATTAATAACAAAAATGGACAGGACAAGGGGACAGTGACGGGAAGCCTGTTAGCAGGGAAGAACCAGACCACACTTGCCCATCTGGCCTTAGGTAGTGCACGCCAATTTAAGCAGTGTTTTCTCCAAGTACCAGGCGAGGGAGCAAAGCTTGATACAGAAATGCTGCGCAAGGAGAAAGTGGGTAGACGCTAGGGAAGGAAAAGTGGAATTCTGTAGTCATCTCTTACAAGCATTTTCACTTTTTGAGGCAGGGTCTTCCTGTGCGGCTCAGGCTGGTTTCAAATCATGGGGTCACATGATCCTCTTGCCTCACCCTTCCAAGTGGCTGGGGCCTTCAATTCTGAATAATTAACACAGTGCTTTCTAAATAAAGTGTGGCTACCCCCCTGGGTTACACCTGCTCTGAAGGGGTGGAGCAGAGGCACCTGTGAGAATGTCAACATACTGTACCACCCGCAGTCCACTATAAATGTAGGAGACTGACAGTCTCCATATTTACAAGGGCTGCCCAAAGCAATGTCACACTTTTGAGGGCAGATTTCCTCTCTCTCACAGATACGCTTTTGTACGGATGGTCCTCTCTGTGACTTCTTCAAATGTGGAAGCAGATATCTGGGAGGAAAGTTTGCTTACCAGGTTTCCCATAAGACTCTAAACACACACAAAAAAGCATACAAGTTCACATTTAAAGCCTTCATGTTCCCTGTAGACTGACTAAATCTAGTTCTAAAAACAACCCTGACTTCAAAATCCATAGCATTAAAACTCTACAAGTAACGAACTCTTCAAGTTTTCCAGTAGAGGGGTTCACAATGTGTCCACAGATAGCTCATTCACTAATGAGTCTCAGGTCAGCCCCCACCATTTGATGGCATGAAGAAATCCAAAGTCAGCTTATGTGTTAGTTCTTTCATTTGAGTGATTATGCGAAGCTGTCAATTTTCTTTTTGGTTGTTTTTTGCTTATCTAACCAGGTGATTCTATGGTGCAGCAGCCCTGAATTTCCTAAGTTAGTAACACAGTGGGAGGATGGTGAGCATGATCAAGAAGCAAGCAGCTGACTTCCTCCTGTAACATCAAAGTGTCAGAAATGAAAAGCTACCCAGGCACACACAACGGTACAAACAGGCCTGGCTTTTCATCGGTCACCAAGTTTAACCCACCTTCAATGCTCTCAGCTACAGCAGATACTGTGGGCCGTACACTGAAAATGCTATTTCATGTCTGAAGGGCTCAGGAGAGTGACTGGTTCTCTGTGTAGTAAGAAATGCAAAGTAAAACAAAATCTGGGAGCAAATGCTTCAACCTTTAGGAAAGTGTGTTTATGATGTCGGTATCCCACGCGAAGTTCTTTAGTATGCTTTTAACTTCGTCCACTTAGTCCATCCTCTGGCTTCTGGATCAAGGCTCTGTATACTCAAAATAAACAAGCAGATTACATGGAGTAGGCGGGGCAGGTTCATGTTAGCAAAGAAATCTGTGCACAGGATCCTACATGTATTCCAGGACAATGAGGTGCAGTCCCCACAGAACTCTTTCAACAAAGCCTTTCTTTCAGTCTTTGAAGGGAAGGATGGTCTGAAGCGTGACAACTGCCTGTAAGAAGAAACCTCCCCATTTTCCCTTTTCAGATAAAAAAAGAAAAATGCTGCATATGAGTACTTGCATGTGGATGGTACACGTTTCTCATTATCAGTTCCAAACACTTTGAAGATACATATTTTTTTTTTGGTTTTGTTTTTTACTTTCAAACTTTTAAACATGTTTATGGTTAAAGTTGCAACTGACTGGGTTTTCCTTTTACATCAATCAGTTCTTAGTGTTGATGCACGAGACCTATGAGAACTTCAGCACATTGGGCGAATGATGGAAAGGACCCAAGAAAGGGATAGCGGGGTACGGCAGACATTATTCTGAGTGTCTTACCTGTTTCCAGACACCACCCTCCCCCCCAAAAAAAGGAGAGCCACTGAGAGTTGTTATTTCATATGGCACTGAAACAAACATTCAGCTTAGTTTAGGTAAGAGTTACTTATCCCTGAAAATAAAGGCATCAGATTCTAAGCAGCTTTAGGAATTCAACGCTTCCTTGTGCCTCTTCCAGGAGGTGCCACCAATCCAGAGTCTTAATTAAGTCAGATGCAAGTCCGAAGCAAACAAGTTCCATGTTGTTACTGATCGAGGCCGGGCTGGGGCAGCTGCTGCTCAGGTGGCCCCTCTGGCTGGGGTGGGGCTGGCCGTGGCCCCGGAGGCCTGGGCATGGGCAGCTCCTGGTGCTGTCTCTGTCTGTAGGCTATGACTGTCCCCAGAAGCAGCGCAATGATGGTCATGAGGTAAAGGTCCCACTCGGGTCCCAGAAGCTGGTCCAGGTCAAGCTGAGTGAACAGATCTCGAATCTTTATGAAAATAATGTAAAAATCGTTACTACTTCAGTGTCAGACAAGGGACTGTGCAAGCTGCGTCACAAATTACAGACAAAGACAGAACTTAAAAACGTGTAATAGGGTTCTTTCCATCAGTAGTATAATGTACCGACTGTCAACCATTTTTCACAGCGAATCTTTGAAAGGAACACAGGGCAATGAAGGAATGAGGGAAGACAGAGAGCATCTCGGGACACCTGTCATCCATCCGAAGTGACGGAACAATGGCTGCAAGGGTCACTTCTAATGACAGCTGCCCTGGGCCACTACTTCTCTCACGTAATTAAAAATTGTATGTTGAACAGATGACTGAACAATGCTTTTTTGCTAGGTTTTAATTAAAACTGCATTAATGTGAAGTTGAACTTAAAAGTTATGCCCATCATCTATGAGACTCTGATTTATTGTCACTTTTGAAAATGACCAGCATTTTCTGTTTTTCCCAAAACTGTAAATATAGGATATTTCTTTAAATAATATTACGTCTGAAAAGGTCCTCATAACACATATTTGTAAGTCTAGTGGCTAAGTTTTTCTGGAAACATTGCAAACTACTGCCTAAGTTTCTGGAGCAGGTATCTGAGATGGAAGGTTTTGTGCTTTTCGTACTGCCTGATTTTCTTACCATCAACACTTAGTACTCTCACATTTTTTAAAAAGTTGGAATATCTGAGTCATAAGATTATGTTGCTTTTATATTTCCATATTTTAAAAAAGCAAATTTACAATCTATTCAGTATGGTGTATTTTGCAGCATCAAATGCTAGGCCAGTGAAGGCAAACCTTTTAGAGACGTGTGCTCACACTGCAACCCCAAACCTGCTCATTTATCACCAGGCGCCAGCACTGCAATTAAACCCAGACACTGAGGTTTTGGTTTAGAAAAAACAACTCAAAACATTAACATCTTTTGTCTTCAAAGAAAAACAACACATGTATCACAGCCTGGCCACCACTGTCCCAGATGACCGATGGTGAGTGAAGTTGTGGGGGACAAAGGTCTGAAGGGGCCCTGACAGCGGGTCAGGGAGCTGGCGCACTGCTAGCTTTGTCACTAGAGGAGTAAGACTATTTCAGTGGCAGAGGGCACAGCACACCACGGCTCATGCTGCCCAGTGTGACAGCACTTGTCGTTCCAAGTGGCAACTGGCAGCTCGTGCTGCAGTGTCCAGCGACCTGGAGCCCGGGCTCGAGTGGCAGAGAGAAGTCCTGTTCTCTTTACTGATGGTGGAGCACGTGGACTGTATTTGTATGTGTGTAGCACTGAAAATGAAGGCCTGACCTGGGGCTAACGCTGAAGAGCACACCAACCCGTTCTGAAAGACTTTAACAGAGGCTGAAACACCGTCCACCATCCTTGCCTAGTTCTGCATGAACTAACGTTACACGGCCTTTTTTTTTTTTTTTTTTTTTTTAAACAAGAGCTCTGAACATTTTAGGGTCAACTCTAGGTACTGTGAGGAAAGTATAGAACTGGAAGAACATGATAGCACCTACCTGTAAGTATTAGATGAAGTTAGTGGTTTTGAAGAGAACAGGTAATCCATACCCTATGTCGGTTCTACTATTAACTTGTTTAATTTAAACAACTCCAGCTATTTTTAGAGAAGGAAATTCTGGTGGCAATTATAACCCAAGCTCTATTAACAGAGGAATATGAAGGCCAACAGCCTTGGCAGTGTCTTAGGTTCTTCTTCTTCCTTTTTGAAGAGACTGCCTGGTAATCACCTGACTTTATGTTTGCTGTGTTAACTCCTGTTTCCACTGTCATGAGTTAATCTTGGTTTTCCCTAAACCAGAAAACATACGCACCAATGCAAGTGCTTCAGCACTAGGAGCGACAGGACTTCACAATGTTGCCTCTGTGTTGTGCAAACAGTTTTGTGTCTACACTCAACCCTCACCTGGTGAGGTCTTTCGGTGCTTCACGCGGGCAGAGGAAGGGTGAGATCTGACGCTCATAGCGTATTCCTCTCTATGCCCAAGAACTATTAAGACACGAACTCCCAGGCCTGGGACAGGGAATCACCTGGATTTAATGAAAAAATGCACAGACCACTTACATTTGTTTCCCTTATGTACTGTAAGAAGTACACAACGCCCAATTTGCAGAGTGCTAGGAAGACCGGGACTTGTGCATCTGGGCTGGCTTCTGCTGCCATGTCATAAAAGCGTTTTGCAAGATGAATATCCTGTAATAAAAGTAAAGAGACAAAAATTCATTCCTTGTCACAGCAGGTACGAATACTTTTCAGTTTTTATATTTGGAAAATTTGATTTACCTTTCAACTTTTCTTTTTAAGATGGATTTCCCTCACCTAAAACCACCAAACAAAACCTCAAGTTTTCTGATTTAATTATCTAACTGCAAAATTTTGATAAATTAAATAAAAAATTAGAACACCAAGCTCATTTCTCTCCAATGTAACATCCTGTTTGCTTATGCAGATATGCTGGATGCAGGAACTGTCTACTGTTAACTGAAGTCCAGTGGCACGTTGCAAGTTTTAAGCTGATTTTTTCTATATTTCACTCGGTATAAGACATTTTGGTTTAGTTTAAATCCTTAGGTCCCTCAAGATTTCCCAAGAGGCTCTCATTTTGGCCAGTGTTAAGGGGTCACATCTCCTCAACATCCACACAGGCCTTCTTCTGAGGAGGCGGCACCCGAGATCAGGCCTGGGTGCAGAGAGACCCTACTCCATGCAGAGAGGCACCGCGCTTGCCAGCAGTCCGGTCTCAGGTCCACTGCCTGGGCATGCAGGGACCTCAGGGATCACCGCATAAACAAACACCCTACAACACTGGTTTTGGAGAAGGGTCCTGTACTGACTAATTGAAAACCTATTATAGGCCATCTGGTCTTCGATGCATTTCTATAAAGGAATAAATGAGTCATTAATTTTGGTTTAGGATGGAGTGTTGGAAATTTGGATAATGCTAGAATGAACGGAACAGTGAGAACTGTGACCATTTTCACTTAAAAATCCCCCCTGTTCTACCCCGAAAGAATTCCATGAGAAACAAAAAGAGCTAAAAATGACTTTTCCCCTACATATTTAAATACAGTTATTTCAGCCAATCCTTGGTATGTCATTAGTTAAAAAGAAAGGCATCTTCAAATAACGTCAGCAGCATAGTGTCTCTGATTTTTAAAAATCCGGGTGGCATGCAGCTCATGCACCCCCTTAGAGTGTCCAAGGCCCTGGGGTCCATCCCTCACAGAAACAAAACAAAACAAAACAAAACAAAACAAAACAAAACAAAACAAAACAAAAGTAACAAAACTTGAGACCTCTTTTGGACTGCTCTATTTCTCAAAATCATGAGTTCAAACTATGTGATAACACAAACTATGTATGATTCAATAGTGATTAAAACTAACCCATCCTGTTTCCAGCTGTCCTCATCTTAACACTTTGTAGCTGTCTAGCTACCCTAGATGAAGAACATTAGTATGCAGCACTATGAATATTTCTTTCATTTAAAAATAGGAAAAACTGGGAAAAGGTAATCATGATGTGCTATAAAAAGTAAAGGAATTATTGTATTTGGCCAGGAATATTTATTCTCAAAAGATGAACTCAAGTTCCTTCCCACTATGCTCATCAAAATACTACCACACCTTTTTTAGTCACAAATATGTATACTATTTATATTTGATTAGATTAGAAAGCAATTTATGAGTACACATTAATTTTCTTGTTTTATAATCTATTATTTGAACAGATTATTAGAGTTATACATCCTAAATATATCCTTAAGTGCTATAATTTATATGTGATCTTTAGATATAAAACAAATAAATTAAAAACTGATAAATTAAAAGTCTGATAAATTAGTCTTGCTGGGCTGACAATGGAGAGAGGCTCCATTAAAAATGTGACACATCAGACATCTTTCTCGAAACTGAACACACTGAGTCTGCAACCCCAGAGTTTTGATAAAACTGCACTGAAGTATCTGAGAGTAATAATTAATATTATAAAATATAAAAATTTACATACTGAAGTAAAATAACAATTTTTTAGAAAATGCAACTTGCCAAAATACAGTATATTAGCAGAATGAAATCAACAAATTTCTCTCCACCCCGGCTGGTCTGGCAGCCTGAGGGGTACAGCAAACAGCCGCACTGGAAGCCGCGGGAGCTTTTCCTGTGCTCTGCACAGAGGCATGTGAATGAGGGGCCCGCGGGTCAGGGCACAGCTCGTCCTGCAGTCTCTGGTTTCCAGTGCTTTCATGTCACGGATCAGGTCAGGGGATGGCGCACTTACAGACGACGTCTTAATGACATCACTGACCACCGGTACATGACAAAGCAGCTGGAAGAGCCGAATGACTGCGGTAATGAACTCCGCCATTCCTACCGACTTATCCACGTGAACAAGGTTTCAGTCAGACATTTATAAAAACAGCAGAATTAGTGCTAAGCCCATAAAGTATACAGAAACTTATTTTTTAAAAGATAGTTTTTTTCCTCAAAAGTGTATTGTTTGATTTGAGTAACAATTCATTAATTACTGGCCAACCTTGACTAGTCACTTGAATTTTTCTTAATATTAATCTTTTTATGTCTAGCTCATAGAAAATAAAGCTCAAAATAAATTTATATAACTGTTTCAGGTAAGTATGACAGAATGACCAGTTAAACACCCAATCATTAAAAATATTAATACTGGATTATAATTTTATGAGGAAGCAGTGGTTGAAAATATAAACTTGAGAAAAGTTAAAGATATAATTTTCAATTAAAGAACTGCTTTGTATACAGAATCAAAGACTGAATTATTCTGATATTTAGATTTCAGTTTATATTTTAAAAGCAATTTAATAATTTCATTTAAAAATGTTGACATTTAAAATGGCTGGAGTCTGTTGACTAGTGAGACAGGGTCTGACTATGTAGTCCAGGCTGGCCTTGAACTTGTGATGCTTCTGTTAGCCTCTCAAGTGCTGACATTATAGTTATGTGCTACCATGCTTGGCTTAGCTGGAATTTAGATCTTTTTCTAAAGTAAGAAAATATTACATGTCAACTTAAAAAGGTGAAAGAAATACACAAATATTCAAAATTCGTTTGAGGCTATTTGGGCAAAAGTCTAACGTCATGGGTCTAGAGAATGTACTTTATTAGAGAGGTGTAAGAATCAGAAATAAGTTCAGAAAAAATTTTCATTCATTATAAAACAATTTAGGAATAACACAGAATCTGGTGAAGGGGGAGCGATATTTCCTTAAACAAGGAGCAGTCAACAGATGCACACTGCATTCGTCTCCTGAGTCTGTCTTTCATTTATACCCTCACTCTAACGGTGTGGATTTTAGTGTGTGTGCGCGCTGGAAGACAAAAGACTCACGGGCAGTCTTCTGAAATAATGGAACTCAGTCTCCTAAGTTGGTGGCCTAAAATCGGATGTAATTCCAAAGCAAGCTTGTTTTCCATACAAAGGCCGGCATCCCCCATCCCCGGTCCAGTACTGAAACGCGTGCCGTGGGCCACACTCACCTGTTTAATGCCTAGCCCCTTCTCATGCATGTACCCCAGGTTAAACATAGCCTGCGCGCTGTGCTGCTGCTCAGAAGCAAGACGATAATGGATGAAGGCAGTCTCGTAATCTACATCAGTGCCAAATCCATAGAAATGGTAGTCTCCAAGCTTGATTCTAGCCACAGTATAGCCTTAAAAAAGTCAAATGCAAAACTGCCAATAAATAAAGTATGCTTAAAACAGACCAAACTCATCAACTCCCTTAACATGGTTATATAAAACAAAGAACTTTAATGCACAGTACACAAACTTTGTAGCACAAACCTTGTCTCAACCATAAGGTCAGAGAAGATTTAAATTAGAAGAATACCTCTTTTGCAGAATTCCTCATAAATAGGGAAAATAAAACAAAGTGGTAGCACTCACTATTGTACTAAATATTCTTCTTAAATAACCACGATCTACTTTATCACACCGTTCACATCTTAAAAAAGTTTGACCACTGCTTAGTCTTGGAGAATGGACAGGAAGACAATGTTGAGCAAAGAAACATTCAAAAGAAAAAGACAAGGATAAGGCTAGAGTGTGTCATGGTTTGTACCAGATGTCCCCCCCAAAGCCTCATGCACCCACAGGTGGGGCTTTTAGGAGTGGCTGGATCACCAGTGTATGACACTGAATCACGAGTGTGATACTAGGTTAGTCCACTGACTGGTTCAGCATAGGAGGGTCTGGTGGACTTATTGAGAAGGGAAGACCCACCCTGCGTATGGATGGCACCGACTAATAGCCTTGCAGCCTAGATGGAGAAATGAAGTCTATTGCTTCCCGTTTGGCATGCCTGGACTGTTTCTCCTCTTCTGTGTCCCTCTGCCATGCTGCCAGGCAACTATGGGCTGAAACCCCTATAAACTGTGAGCTAAAATAAACCTTTTCTCCATTAACTCGTGGGTGGTATTGGGTATTTTGCTCTAGCAATGAGAAGAGAAGAGTCCTTTTGGCTTTTAGGTTAATATTCTGTTATGCACTCTACTAAAGTCACATTTTATATAATAAATTGGCCTCAACTACACCAAAAATGAACCACAATAAGATGGAAATATCCAGTACAAAGACAGTGCAATTCAATTTAGAAATTGTGGTGCCAGAATTATCATTTTAGAATAAATGCTAAGATGTAATCGAGTTAAGCAACAGTATCTTTGCTTAATTTTAAGGTGATGAGTGACAAGACAATGTTCAGTAGATAAAAATTGATACAGAGGTCTCTGGATCAAACTTTTATCCTAGCATTAGCTACGCACCTTGAGAGGCGGCCCTGTTCCAGTGTAGCAAAGCTCTGGGGTAAGTTTCATTCTCACCAACAATGGTTGCTTCTCCTATAGAAAAAGAAATACAGCACAAATCAGGCATTCAAGGAAAGGCACTGGAATTTTGGCTTCATTGGCAAACTAGTGTGGATATGTGGCACAAAGAGTATTAAACAATTACTAAAATCAAACAAGTATTGGAATGAAAGACTGACCTCAAGGGAGTCACTGGATGGTCCACTGCCTGAAAACGGCTTTGTCCACTGTACCATAATGAGACTAATCACTAAGCCACTTCTAGGGATTCAAGATTGGAAAACTGGTACCACATAACCACTGTATTTTGAGAAATGGTTAATGAATGTGGTTAAACATAAGTTCAACTCAAATGAGCCTTACTCTGATCAAGAATGAAGGCTGCGTTGCTCTGTGCCACTTCATAGCCCTGCTCTGCCAGCAGGAGGTACTGGATCACGGCAGCATTGTAGTCGCCATCTTTGTAGCTGTTATAGGCAGACATCAGCCTCTCGGACCAGCGGCCTCGCTCACACACATTCTTAAATAACTACGGAGAGAGGGCAAAAAGTAAAGACGTGCCACAACTAACTTTTGAACCTAGGCTGAAAGTGATTGCTAAGGTTGCTCTTTGAATCCCTAAGAGCTTGCTTTTATTTACTATTTTCTTCTTTTTTTTTAAAATTAAAAGTTGTTTAAGTTTTGTTTTTTTGGTACCAGGAATCAAACTCAGGACCTCACACTTGCCAGGCAGGTTCTGTGCCACTGAGCTACGTCCCCAGACACTTTCATTTACTCTTTCGAAGTCAATACGGCTAGGCATATTCTGTAATCCTAGCACTCAGGAGGTCGAGGCAGGATTGCTGTGAGCTCGTGAACAGCCCTGGCTACAAAGTGCACTCAAGGGCAGCCTGAACTGCATAGTGAAAGCTTATCTCAGAAGGAAAAAAGATCAACATTTCTAAAAAAACCCTAAAATTGCAAACAATTGTATACCATTTACTCTCGCCAGGTACAATCCCAGTGATTTATGTATATTATGGATATTAACACACTTAATCCTCCCCAAGAGGTTCATGAGGGGCCCTCCTACGAGGTCCTTTAATAGCCCTATTTTACAACTGAAAATACTGAAACACAGAGATTTAGAAACTTTGCCAACAATTTATCAATGTCATTCTAATTTGTCAGGTCTGAAGGAGCCAAAGAGAAGATTTCCCCTTAGGAGCTATGAGCATTCCCTTTGGAACACTCAGTCAGCACATTTCTTTTCTTTGGTGTTAACTATGTACCAGATACTGTCCAAGGCTCAGCACACACCAACATCTGCTCTGTAGAGAGACAGACTAAACAAGTACAATAGTGACACAGACCCCCGGGTCTCCCCTCAGTCCAGTAATGATAAGAAAGCTAAGTCTTTCTCTATAGTACTATGTACCAGATACTGTCCAAGGCTCAGCACATACCAACATCTGCTCTGTTTTCTTACACAGACCTTCAGGTCTCCCCTCAGTCCAATAATGGTAAGAAACCTAAGTCTTCCTCTACAGTAGAAGAAATCATGCAAGGAAAGCCAGAATGATGCAAAGCCAGCCTCCTGTTGGGCAAGTTCACTTCCCGCGTGCAGGCTGGAGAAATGGCTCACCTCCACCGCGGTGTGACAGGACCGCATCACACCTGTGCCGCTGGCGTGCATCTGTGCCAGGTTATAGAAAGCCAGGATATGGCCTCCTTGAGAAGCTAAATTAAAATACTTCAAGGCCTGTTTATAATCTCTCTTGACTCCAATGCCATCTATAAGAAAATAAAGTCACATAAAAGGTCTGTATGAGTCTTAATTTAAGATATGGTTAAGCATCAGATTAGATTTCCCTTTGAAGAACAAAACTATTAGGAATGTTAGAATTCATAGTAAATAAGATTAACATATTAATATCGATTAAAATAATTTACAGTGAAAAGCAAGATGCACAAATAAACAAGTTGGAGAACACCACATTAAAGCCACAATGGGACAGCCCTATTTCCGTATCATAGTGCCACCTAGTGGAAAAGTTTAGTTCAGAGCTTGCTACCTCCATCGCTAATCCTTTTATGTATAGCATTCTATTTTTTGGAACATAATAAAAAAACAATGAAACATAACAATGGAACCTAATAAAATTTTTTCTTCAAACTCTTGTTCCTTGAGCTTTTCTAGGTGACACGTATGAATTTCACACAACACTCGCAGCCTTTGCCATCAACGGGTTAATTCCAATGCCACTCACTGTAGTACATAGAGCCAAGCTGCAGCTGTCCATCCACCCAGCCTTGCTCAGCAGCTTTCTGGAAATATTTCAGGGCCAGATCATAATTCTATAGAAAAAAGACATCAAATGATGAAAAAGCTTAAAAAGCTGACACACTTCAAAGTTTGAAGATCTATATAATAAAAAGAATGAACAAAATAAAGTATTTTCAAGAGTTAAAGAACTGCCTTATAATTATTTACATAGATATTAATAGGTTTAAATTTGTAAAGGGCTAAATATTTAAGACTGAGAAAAAAACAAAGTTTTATAAAAGCAATTTGCTTTATAAAAGCAAAATCTCAGCATAAATGCTAGAACCCAAGATCAGAAGTTAAGAAATCATGACACTTTTCTATCAACCAACTAATTCTTTTAAACCAGTGTTTCTAATACTGAATAAAGAAAATATTTTCTCCCCTTAACTGTCCCTGCTTTGTGCACCTTAACAGATACTCTGATTACTGGATGCACAGTTATCACAGAGAAAAGTTAAAGAAGGCTCTGAACTTTAGTATCCTGGAATGACGAGGAGGAGTCCCAGTTAGCCCCACTGCTGTGTTTTGGGTTAGGGAATGACTATAGATCACATTCTTATATCTAGAGCTTACTTTCAGGCCCAAAATTAAAAGAAAATACTGCTTGGAGAGATCATACAGAACATATCACGAATCTAGTGACACCTAACATGAAGAGGCAATAGCCAATGAGAACCAAAAGCCTGCAGCCAGAGCCCCAAGGAAGAGAAAGCCAAACGAAGCAGGGCCAAAAAGTCCCATGCACCAACGTTTTAGAGGTTACTGGTCATCAGGACAGAGAGGACGGTGCTGCTAAAAACTAAAGGGCGAATGACAGTGGCGTAACACTAAGTTCATTATTTGGAGAAACTTGGCTTTGTGTTGAGGGCTGGAGGGAAGAGAGGTGTAGCTGGAAGGGGCCAAGGCCAGGCTGGGAAGCTTTCCCTTTCTAACCAGGAGGCGTGAGCAGCAGACAAGGGAGGTGTCCATGTCACAGAGAAATGGGAAGAGTGCACAGGGCAAAGAGCAGAGACAGCACTGAACGGCTCTGCCCAGTTCAAAAGGTCAACTGAAGACAGCAAGACAGAGGTGCAGGGTGGGAGAGCAGGGAGGCAGACTCAGAGACAAGAGGGAAACCACAGAATGACTGCTCTGGGCTGACCAGACGCTAGCTGAAGAGCACCTCCCAGCCTCCTCAGCTGGCTGGCATTCCCCTGAGTGCTAAGCTGAACACTTACAACTTGAACTCCTCGCCCGTAGAGGTAGGCCATTCCTAGCCCACTCTGTCCAACGGGGTTGCCCTGAAAACCAAAGAAATTAGGCAAGAGTGAAAAGAATTCATTACAGAGTGGACAAGAATAAATGGCTACAAAAGTAATCATTTACAACTACATCCAAAAATGTTTTAATAGTGTTAAATTCACAACTTTCCCCTTCTTATCAGGTGAAACGAACACTATGTTTCACATATTTGGGGAGCTATCAGTGATATGCTTACAAAGAATAAGCAATAATTCATTTAGAATTAAATTTCAGCAACTTACAGAATAGTTATGTATACCATGAATTTATGATGTAAAACATGAATAACTTATTTCATAAAAAAAGATGTCACATAACTGCTGATTCCATTCCATGATGTCTTCCTTCCCGACTGTGGTGTAGAGCCAACAGTCACGTAATAATAACAGCAGTGCCACTGTCAGCTAGCAAAGATACACTTAAAGAGTAGTACAGTGGCATGGAGCAAGGGTACTCAAATAATAACAGTTGTTTTGAGATTCAAAAGAGAGAAATCTAGAGTGCGCCAAAGCTGACACAACAGAAGACATCTTAACCAAGGGGCCACAGCACCCCTCTGCCTGGGGAGCACTTAAGCAACATCTGGAGAATGGAGACATGTGGTTGGTATAGAAGTGGACACAATAGAGGGACACAGTGTCACCACATGCATGCAGTTTTCTCTGAGTCAAAGAAAGTCCAAATTATGTATTAAGAAAAACTCAATTATTAGGCCTTTAAAATTCAAGTTGCTGTCCAAATAAGGGAAGTTATATAACTCCCAATTCTACTGCTAAGATCAGTGTTTCGAAGATTAGGATACTTCTCAAAGAAATTTAAACAGAGACTTAATATTTGACAATCTAGTTCCTAAAAAAATTTTCCTGCTTATTTAGGGTTAGGGTTAGTCAATATTTTCACGAGTCATATTTACATACATACCTTCAATAACACGATTAATCTTTCAATAAATTTACTAAATATTAGTGACACATTGAGTCAGGAAAGCTTACCATGTCAGCAGCTTTTTTAAAGTAGTGTAGCGCTGTTTCATTGCTTTGAGGTACAATATCACTTCCTTCTGAATACATCTAGAAAACAGACCCCAGTTTCATTCAGTGCAGTAACTCTTTCCAATTACATTTTAAAAAATCTTATTTCATTTTGATTTTTATTATGTTTCATGACATCTTACCAAAGTTGAGCATTCCCCACACAATATTTAGAATTAAAAGCAAAAATATATTTCATGTCACATCAAACTTACGATTTATGAATAAATGCAAATATATAAAATCAGCTTACAGATCCACCTCAAAATAAGAAACCTTTCACCTGCAGATACACCTGTCACAGCGTGCCTCAGGGAAGTCAATGGCTAATAATCTGCCTGGCATCCTTGGGAGGGTGACTGGAGGGCAGGGAGATCATCAGTGGAATTCACCTCCCCAGCCCCTGCCCTGCTTCTCCCAGGGTAAGGTAAATGGGAGGTCTTAAATTAGGACAAAAATTATTAAAGATTGTTTAAAAGGTTTAAAATATTACATAATCAGGTATGGACCATGACAAGGGACCAAGAAAGAAGACAACAGAATGGCCAGTGCCACTAACTACCCATGTACGCATTAAAGAATTAACAGAGTTCTGTTCTGAGGTATTAATAATTCAGAGCAAGGACCAAAAAAATTTAAAAAAATACTTATCAAAAATAGATAGGGGAAATACCAATTTCCATGCTGTGATGCCAGGATGTTTAAATGTGGTAATCAGCCCTCAGTTAACTAGCTGTGATCACAAAACACTGAAACTTTCCTATTTGTAAAAACCTCTGAGACACAGTCTATCTGAACTTCTTTATTTCAGCATTTGGCTATACATAAAAACAATTATTGGTTTACATGACATTAGTTTTCAAATAATGAAAAAGTTTGAGCTTCCCCTCTGGGATCTGTTCATTAAGTCTTTAGATGTATGTTTTCTGGCTTAAAAAAGAACTGCACCGAGAGGTAGATATTTAAATTGTCATATTTAAACAATTAAAAGTTCTTCAGATTTCAATGAACTCCATCTCCATTCAGCATGATAGGAAATATGCAATTGTGGCAATCGTACCAAAAAAACTGTACAGCATAAAGTGCAAACTCTTCATTAGCATAAAATACAAAGCAAGAACTCAGAGACTGATAACAGAGGACTAACATAGCAATGGAACAAATTGTTGTTTTTAGGTTGCCTAAAAACAACTTCAGAATAGCACTTATCTGAAGACAAGATATGACAACCTTGAACTGGAAACTTTTTTGTTTTGTTTTGTCTTTTTCTTTTTATTGGTACTGGGGATGGAACTCACGACTGCCTGCTTGTAAGGCAGGCGCTTATGCAGCTGAGCTAAATCCCCAGTCCCTGAAATGGAAATTTTATTTCCCACTTATTTTTGGTATACTGTACCTTCTGAATATAACACATGCTCATTATGAAAATGTCTTTTATTATTTGCATAACAGATTCACAGGAAGTACAATACCTTTCCTAAGAAGGCCATAGCATGTGAATTGCCAGCATTAGCTGCTAAGTTGAAGTAGTCAAACGCTCTCTGTGAGAAAAGAATTTATGAAAATCATTAGTTTTTAAAAGAACCTATGTTAGCAGAGGTAATTATTTCAGAAACACTGAAGAAATCTTTTTATACTACAGCAATATCCAGTCATCAAGATTTAAAAATAGAAATCTATACATCTAGAAGTTTTATTTTATCCACTACCTACATCAGAGAACTATGTATCTTTAAGTCATTTCATAGTTATAGCTACAAAGAAATTTTTTGCATGCCCTAAATGTAAGCCAAGAAGACTTGTGTTATTTACAAGCAATCTGAGCAGGATTCAGGCTGCTTAAGGACATCTAATAGCAATGCAACCTCTTCTGACTACCTTACTGTCAGTAACACAAGAGAAAGGAAAAACTACGAAGTCCTTACAAGCCATGGGACACGCTCCATTGTTCTGTAAAGAAATACTACTTACTTCTGCTTTATTTAGAACAGATTTTGGATTCTACTTAAAAACCATATAACTGAGCAATCCGGCATCACAGAATTCATTACCACCATCCTCGACTGCACTGCCCATCTTTGTTGAGGACCTTGTACCATCAATGACTTCTTTGCCTGGCGGAGTTAACTTCCTCTCCTTTTTGGTCCTTTCCCACTAAAAATGGATTCCTGCATCTTTGCTTTAGATTTGCAGTTTTTCTCCAGTGATGACTGTCACCTGTTAGCTGCTTTCCTTCACAGATAATTTTCTCAAGTAAGTTGTCTCTAGGCACTTCAGTGTGTCCTACAATTAATCTAAACTGGTTTCTATCCATACTGCTTCAGGAAGAAAGCTGATCAAGCCGCCAATGACTTTCTTTTTTTTTTTTTTGTCTTTTTTCCTTTTTATCGGTACCAGGGATTGAACTCACGACTGCCTGCTTGCAAGGCAGGTGCTTATGCTGCTGAGCTAAACCTCCAGCCCCATACCAATGACTTTCATATTGCCAGTAAAATCTGTCTGTCGTCTCACTCCACCTTTCTACAGCATACAGACAGTCCATCACACTCTCTTTCTTGAAATACTTTTGGCTTGGCACACAAGGTGTCACTCTCCTGGGTTCGTCCTTTACATGTATCATCTCAGCATCCTTTGCTTATTTGTATTCTGCTGCTCAATTCTACATTATTAAAAGACTTCAGGTTACATTCTATAAGTAATCTTATTTCTACTCCCATGGCTTCACATTCTATTGTGATGACTGCAACTTCTAAATTTTAGTTTTTCTCTAGTCTATTTAACTACCCATGAATGTCCAAAGCTTGGCCAGATCTCTGATTTCCCTTTGACCTCAACTTGTCCCCCCCCCCCCCAGGATCTCTGCATAGCTAGGCAATATGGCACCTACTGGATGCTCAAGGTACCTGCCTCCTTTGCGCATATTCAGTGTATCACTATGTCTTGGTGACCACCAGACACCTTCAATCTGTCCAGTATCTTCCATTTTCTTTCCATTGCCTACATTTTCTCTCACATGAACTTCTGAACTATTGTTTTCCAATTCATTCTCTACACAGCAGCCAAAACCAATGTTTTGAAATTTTAGACTGTTAGCCCTTGAAGCTGTAATACCTTGAAGCTTGCAGGATATACTGATATGATTAAAGACTGCTTATCTCAGCACTGCACCATGAATCAAACTCTCTGCACTTCAGTGTATCAGCCCTGTGCCTTCCTGTTCTGGGACCTACGCATATTCTGCTCTTTTTGGCCTGGGATGATGCTACTTCTGCTGTCAAATGAAACATCATCTGTCTCAGAAAAGGCTTCCCTAATGAATGAATGGTTCCTCCCATCTAACAGCCAATTACTGTATCCTTTTCTTTGTTTTTTGGTGTGACCACTTGAAAACTATCTACCGACTCTACAGAACCTGAAGCTCTGTGAGGGCAGAGACCAAAGCTTTTCTGTTTAGTACTGTATCCTGAATATCTAGCAGTGATTGACACACAGTATAGACTGAAATATTGGCTGAACTAAGGCAGCTAGGTACTAGTTACTCACTTCTTTTGTGATAATTATTTTGTAGTTACTTTATACACAGGTACTATATAACACAAGAATATTGTGCAATATAGGCAAAATTGTTCTGTGAAAGTTATGCACCAAACTCATTTACCTAATGCTTTTATTAACTAGCTTTTGATGCTTCACTGGCTCAAGAAATGCATCCTAGTGACCAAAACACTGAAAGTTGCCAAAAGCTGTATGAACAGAAGCAAATCTACAGATACTTGAAAAATTACAGTTTCAATGAGAAGTATACTTTGTTACCATTTTATTCTTTTTTTTTGTCTTTTTCCTTTTTTATCGGTACCGGGGATCGAACTCACGACTGCCTGCTTGCAAGGCAGGTGCTTATGCCGCTGAGCTAAATCCCCAGCCCCATCATTTTATTCTTAAAAGGGATAAAAGTATACAGAAAACCTTAATTAGTATGCTTAATTGGCATGGTAGAAAACAGTTTTATTAGTGTGATAAACACTTATTGAGAACTTAATATGCTAGACTGTGTTGGGGGCTGGGAATGAGGTGGCAAACTAGACAAGGTTTATGCTCTTTTGGACTTATGTTTTACGTGGGGACACAAGTTATATAACTGATTTCAAATGAACAAGAGCCATGAGGGCTACAGATTTTCAGATATTCTTTTTGGTGTATGACCTATTCCTGGTTGGAAGCTGGGCTTCAGGGCAGATATATTACAGATTGGTGCTGAGTTCGGGAGGATGGGCAGGGATTAGCTACATGAAGAAAACAGGGGAACAGTCATTGCAGAGAGAGGTGTCTGTGTCTCGGAAGGTGTGAGGCAGAGAGGATCGTAATACGATCTAACATTTTTGAAAGAGTCTTTGGCTCTGTGACTCAGAGAATAAAAGGCTGCTAAGAGAAACAAACTGGCACAAAGCCTTGGAGGGCATGATGAAGATCGTGGATTTTAAACCACTGGAAATCATAGCACTCAAGAGGTTTAAACCACAGACCCAAGTACGCAGTTTATAGAGACTTGGGAAAGGATCACACGGCAGATGATTCACACAAGAGCTGGGTATAATGATGGGAGAAGGGAAGAAACGAGATATATTTAATGTAGGAGAAAAGAACTCAGTTACTAGATTACAGTTATATACTCTTAATTTTTTTTACAAATGATCCACTTTTTTCTCAGTTCCGTAAAACGTTTCCCAAAGTTTTAAGACCTGTTTCTAGCATACAGTTACAGAAAATCAAGACCTCTACATGTATTTTCTGGGCAGCACGGGGAATTAGTTTTGCATGAATCCATCCCAACTGCTTTGAGCTACAGTCACGCTTCTGCCCTGTAGCTTCCTTAGGGTTAGGCAGATCCTGGAAGCTCCTGTGTGATGAGTGCTGAAAGGACACCAGCTGGACACTGGCACTACCTCGCAAAAGACACAAGTGAGGCCTGGTTTCTTATTCCCACGTGAGAGTCGAAGCCCAGGCACCGGGGAGTTACCTGGTGATTCTGCTCTACTCCACGGCCACCGTGCAGGTGCAGTTGTCCCAGACCAACCTGAAAAGCAGCAGACACAAGACAAAAGCAAGAGGTAAGTGTCTCGCATACATTAACACTAGACCCACAAGAAACCAGTTAGTCATTAAAGGCTTCTGTTCATGACTCGAAAATCACTTTTTTTTGTCTTTTTGAGACAGGATCTTACTATGCAGTTCAGGCTGGCCTTGAGCTCACTTTGTAGCCCACTCTGGTCTCGAACTCACAATGATCCTCCTGCCTCCGCCTCCCAAGTGCTGGGATTATAGGTGTGCACCACCATGCCTGGCTAATATGACATTTAATCTTAAATTCTCAAATTAATTATTCTAAAATTTCTAAGAATTAAAAAAGTATGCTTTAAACTATAAAGTGTCCTTTTGAAATGGGAGTGCAATACAGGCATTTTCAAAATTAAAACTGAATTTGTCCTCTGTGAACCTGCTCTAAAGGAAATTCTTAAAGGTGCTGTTCAGGCAAGAGGCAAAAGTATCTGAGAGACTTCAAGAGGCAGTAAGGAAAAAAAAAGTGATATAAAGATAAATAGGTGAGTAAATTTAAACAGATACCTATGTATGAAATAATTTTTTGTGTGGTTCAAAAAATATAGGGAACTCAAATGGCACATGGCTGTAATTCCAGCACTCTGGAAGGCTGAGGTAAAAGGATCACAAGTTTAAGCCCAGTCTGGGTAACTTAGTAAGAGCTGGGGTCGGAGGTGACATTTAAAAGGGCTGAATATGAAGGTCAGTTTGAAGGCTGTGAGTTCATTACTCAATACCATGAGAAAAAAGAAGGAAAGGAGGGGGAGCAGGGAGGGAGGGAGAGGGAAAGAGGGAGGGATGGAGGAAGGGAGAGAGAGAGCGCGAGTGACCTGAAAACATATAGTAGTACATGTTGTATTATCCTGGAAATGGCAAAAGTGCTCTTCCACACCAGCCTTTCATAAAGAAGCCTGCTGCAATCTCTACACAACCACTGCGAGAGCCGTGAAAGGCTGTCCAGTGATCATATTGACAGAGGGAGGAGATGCAGCAGCCAGAAGCACAGAGGGAGGAGCACACAGCAGAGATAAGGGTACGTGGAAAGCAGGACAGAAAACTTAAACCAAAATAACCATTAATATAAAAGATGTTTAATGAGACAAGATAATTTAGTCATAATTAGTTTCCAAGAGCTAAGATTTGGTTTCACTTTTCACTACAGGCTTTTTTACTTTTCATTTCATTTATTTATTTATTTTGTCTTTTTCTTTTTTTATCGGTACTGGGGCTCGAACTCACGACCACACACTTGCAAGGTAGGTGCTTATGCTGCTGAGCTAAATCCCCAGCCCCCTTTATAGGCTTTTTAAAATAACTTCCTTCTGCTAGCCTTCAATTAATTTTTCATAAGTATCTATTACTTCTTTCTATACATCTAAATCAGAAGAACTACAATTACAATGGGAAAAAATGAAGCTCTTTTTATTGTACTATATCAAAATAAATCATGAAACACACACTCGCACATTTATATTATTTGATGGACGAACATCATACAATTTGAACCAACCTACTTCTATACTTGATCTTAATTAATGTAATCATGATCTAAGATGAGCATGAGAAACACAAACGGTTAACAGCTCTGAAGAGCAGCTGATATTCCAAAAGTCCCAGCATCATGTTTAGAGAAAGTGACAGCTTCATTTTTGCTGACCCTGATGGAAGCCTTCAATCAGGGTCAGTGCTGCTCCGTTCAGGCTGTGACTTTTAGCTGCGGGATTGGGGAAGAGTCACATAACCAGCATTCAGGAACTCTCAGGGCCGAGTCCTCACTCGAGGTAACCCAGATGAAATCTGAGCATGTGGAACTCGTGGTATTTCTTTTAATGCGCTGCAGGTGACCCTAGTATGTAGCACAAAGCTGCACAGAGCCATGAAAAGATTACCTACAGAAGGGAATGCTTCTCTTCCCTCTGTGTCGAAGTACATAAAACAGTAAGAAATTCCGAGATGTTTGAACACGTACTTGTGCTTGTACATCGCCCTTTTCAGCTAGGAACTGGTAATACTGAATCAAATCTTCTTCTAGCATGCCACTGTTCATTCCTGGGTTTTCTACTTCATCAGGCAGTCGTATTCTCTGCACCACTGAGCCGCCCGTTAGCGAGATATCGCTAGCAACTGAAACAGGAGACAAAGCGGTCAAAGGAAAGTGAGGAGACTGTTTCCCTGAGAGGTGCAAGCCCAGCTGCTAAATGTTCAGACAAGATGCTGAAGGAAATGGTTTCTACAGCAGTCTAAGGATAATAGAAGAGGACGCTATGAGAAAATTAGACTTTTTCCACAAAATATTTAAGATGCAGAATTCAAAAATTTTAACAAATATACTTTGTAATTAGAACCTCCAATACTATAACAAAAACAGATGTATTTAAAAGTAATTCTATTTTTTTCCTGGAAGGTGAAAGGGATAAAAAAAAAAAATAGCTACCATGATTGGCAACAAGACGATAATGGGTCAGTGCAGATTCACAGCTCTGGAGGACTCCGATGCCAGCCCAGTACCGGTACCCCTGAAAGACACCTTCGGGTGAGAAGAAGGCAGTTTCACAGGCCAGCGGCAGCATTCTTGGACTAAATCAAGCTAGCCATACGCAAGTGTAATTCTGCTGTCCTATGACCCAAGTAAATGAACATCTCATTTACCCCGAGTTTTAAGTTCTGAGGTAATCTGGCAACTTCAACAGCCTACAGCTAAAAACTAGGAAATAAAATTTCTACAGAAATGAAAAGAAGTGCCATGAACTTTATATATTAAGTGTGTGCATTTTACTCAAGAGAAAATTACTGAGTTAATTACACTTAGAGCCAATTTTAATCTTACTTTAGACACAATTTTTTTTTTTCTTTTTGGGTACTAAGAATCAAACTCAGGATCCTGAGCTGGCCAGGCAGGTGCTGTGCCCCTGAGCTATATCTCCAGCCCTTTAGACACAATCCTCATCCAAATGCATTCATTTTCCAAACAAGCAAATAAAAAATTAGTAAAGTAGGAAAAGTGAGACTATTAGAAGCATCCACAGTAACACTAGCAATAACTGATTTCAGAATTAAGTAGGAAGACAGGGTAGGAAAAGGAGAGGTTACAATATATTGAAAATACTAATAATAAATAAAAAAGTATGATTATTAATTTATAAAAAGTACAGAAAACAGTAGAACTCTCTGGAATCGCTGCACAAATGTCTGTAGACTAATAATAATCTTTAGGGCATTACTGGATGATCACATGCATAAAATTCAATGTTCCAAATCTGGAGTCACTAATAGAAGATTAGTAAACATAATTTGAAAGGCAATTGTACAAAAATATTTACTGTCACATTTGCCATATAAAAGTAAGTTTCATATTTCTTGAAAATTCACCTGAAAATTTCAGTTTCTGTGTGAGGAATAACTGTTATGACAGATTAGACAAATAAGTGGAAACAACATTGAAATTAATGAGGGATGTTTCTGAGAGTCTGAGGGAAAATTTGATTTTTCATGTGCATTAACTTCTTCCATGGTGCAGGATGTACCAGGTCAATTTTCAAGCTCATAAGCATCACTTACAGCCTTTTTACTTGAGTCTCAACTTCCAGCCAGCTAATCACCTGCTGGGAGCTCTACTCTTCAGCCACCGTAAAGTGCTTGTATTTTCCTGCGAACACTACTTTCCCTCTTAACGCTGCCTCTCTGCCGTTACTGCTGTGGGGTCTGGGTACCTTTCTGCTGCTTCTATTCATTTGCTACTATTTATCCTTCAAAAAAACCCCTTTGCTATTTCTTTCCTCAACCATAGCTCCTTTTCCAAATTCCGTAACAGAATCTGTCTCCCTTTCTTGTTGAGCATAAGTATACTATTTATCTTTGGAATCTCAATGATAAATACTCACAGTTAAATATTTTTGAATACATATCGGTAAACTGATCTAGGATCTATCCAGTTAGCCAGAAAATGCATTTTTCTTTTTAACTGTCTCATATTCTGTCAATGAGCAAGCCTATAGATCATTTCTCTGCTTTCAGTCATATTTCTACTCAGCTCACTCTTCACATTACTAATGGACTAAATGTTCACTTGAAGCACAGCAATATGCACCAGCGGTCACGTGACCAACCCAAAGTGGGTTTATACACCAGAAGGCAGTAATGGTTTTAGCAGCAAAAACAATTTGGTGGAAAGATTCTATATTTACCGTTAAGTTATTTAAGTGACCAACCCTATCAGGTAACATATAGCGATACCCTTAAATGTTCTTTACAGGATACAGTAAGCCTCCCATCAATTTAAATGTAAAATTTAGCTGGGCTTGGTGGTGCATGCTTGTAATCCCAGCACTTGGGAGGCTGTGGCATGAGAATGGCCTTGAGTTGGAGGCTAGTCTTGATTACATAGTGAGACCGTCCCCTACCCCCCCAAAAGTAAAACCTATGGCAATACATGTAAAAAATATTTGATCTTAAGCAGATCTCAATCATGAACATTGGAAAAGTTGTAGCCAGTATTGATTTTTCTGCACTTAAAATTGTTGGTCTTCTATTGAGGTTATATATACTTACCAAAACCATGTGGGCTATTAGATTACCTCCAAGAGCTCCAAAAGTATAATACACAAGAGCCTGTAAAACAACAAAAGATGTTTACTTGAACACAGGGACCTATTTATTCAATTCAAATTATAACATACAATAATGTTTTAATAGTGTTACCTTTGCCTGACTTGAATTAACACCGAGTCCAGAGGCATAGAGAAAGCCGAGAGCCTGAAATAAAATGGTAAAAGTAAGAATTCTTTCTCTGGTAAAAGTTTACGCAAGATAGACAGAGTTTTAAGCACTATGAAAAGACGTAAAATCCTTTAAATGCTAAAAGATTTGAATGCAATAGCCTCAGAAATGTGCACAACTTTTTTTTTTTTGTACCAGTAATCAAACTCGGGACTTTGTGCTTGGTAGGCAGGCTCTGTGCCAATGAGCTAAATCCCCAGCCCTCATAACTTTAAACAAATGAAAAGTTTACCTTAAAGAAAATGTAGTGAAATAGTGTCATGGTTTATGTCTGTGTCCCCCAGGCCTCATGAATTTGCATTGTGCATTTGTGCATTTGCATTGTCTAGTGCTTGGATTGATGGTGTCAGTGCTCCACCCACAAAGGGGTGGAGCCAGGATGTGATGTAATGGCAGGAAGAAGGTGTGTCTTGCTCTTTGCTGGTTCCGAGTTGCTGTTTGCAGCCGCCATGAACTGTGGCCCAGCCATGCTCGCCTGCCTTGGAGCCAACTGAGTGTGGACTCAAACCTCCAAAAACTTTAAGAAATAAACCTTTCCTTCTCAACTTTGGGCTTCAGGTATTTTGTCTCAGCAACGAGTAAAAAGTGACTAAGACACATAGTAACTAGAAAACAAAAGCAAAACACCCTTAAACGTGACTTGTACTTCAGTTTTATGAACAGCTATCGTGAAGACAAAACAACTCTCATGCTGTACACTGCCGTACTTTTCTACCTATGCGGAGTGGAATATACTCTGAAAAAGAACAAGATTAATATGACAAACTATTTTAGGAGTAAAAAGAGGCAGCAAGGGGTTAAGGGTGAAATGCCACTTTGCTGTGCTGGAGTACATACTGTTTTCTAAAAAACAGCAGGGAACAAACAATGCACTGGCGAGGTTCTTGATGAAGGCTACGAAGGCCAGGCCAGAGAAGCAGGCAATGCTAGAGCTCATCAAAATCCATGAGCTCCCTGAAATTTCCCAGTTCCTGTAATTAGGTAAGAGGCCCATGTGTCTACGATGTGGATGGAAGTGACTGATGTAAGCCACTTTCAAGCCTGGGCTTTCTATACAACCCAGGGCTTTCTTCAGCGCTCTCTTTTCTCTTCACGATGGCTTGGAAGGCTGTTCCAAGGTGAAGCTACATGTTGGAAGTGGCTTGTGATTAGGAGTTGTCATTTCAAAGGAGTTGCAAGCAGGAGAGCCGTGTGCAAATGTGGCATGAACAAGAAAGGAGGAATGCGAGTCTGAGCCCAGTCTATGTATCAACGAGACCTGACTCTAAATAAAAAAGTAAAAGAAGGGCCGGGGATACAGCGCAGTATGAAGACTGTTTCAATCCCAAGTACTGCAAAACACAAGAAAACACACAGTAAAATGTGAATACAGAACACCGCATATAAGGTAGGGTAGCCAAAAATATTTTACTTGGGTTCATCAAGCTTTAGCTGTGACATCTATTTACAGGAAATAAAAGTGATGGAGAAATAAAACAAAAAGCAGTATGAAGATGCAAATAAATAATGGTAGAATATTCTGCAGAAAATCTGGCCATATCTTTTAACACACGAAAAAAAAAAAAAAAGGCATGGGACTATGTTGGAAATTACAACCAAATATACAGTGCACTACAGGACTAGGTACTTCACTGGACAAAACAAAAAAATTTTTGGCTTAACACAACACAAATACAACGTAAAAATATGCTGGAAGGGGCTGGGGATTTAGCTCAACAGCATAAGCGTCTGCTTTGCAAGCAGGCAGTCGTGAGTTTGATCCCTGGTACCGATAAAAAGGAAAAAGATCGAAAAAAAAAAAAAATGCTGGAATGGACAGGTGTAGGCCTTGACTAAAAAAAACAAGTTATGGAACAGTAAACAGTGGCACATCCTTTTAGTAAAAATTCACCTGTAAAGACGCATAAAGAGAAAATTCTAAGGGTATGAATACATTACAGTTATCACTGCTCAGAAATGGATGGTACACAGATGATATTGCTAGTTTGTATGTCTAGTTCCCTATCATGGATATGTATTGCTTCTTAACAAGTTTTAAAAAGACATTAATATTAACAAGGGCTACAGCATATGAACGTGGAAAAAATGCAATGGTGAGTAATTTCAGGTAGAAGACAATTATTTGTGTATTTCACTCTTTATAGACATAATTTAGAAAAACTACAACTGTGGCAAGAAGCAAATGAAAAAATTGCCTTCATTAACTATGAATGTTCTCAGACCAAAGAAAAAGAATATCAAGGGAGAAAGATAAAGTGGCCTGCCAAGATAATATTTAAAGATACGCTATCTTTCAGTCTTAGTTATTAAAAGACCTCAGGGCATAAAGAATACACTGCTGCTGAAATGAACAGGTGCTGCACGCAGACACACTTCTTCACTGAAAGCGCACTTACAGTCTGCCCTTTGGGGGAGCCTTCCTCAGTCAGCTTCTCAAACATCTCTTTGGCTGCCTGGATATTCTGTGGCAGGTAATATCCAAACAGAAGCGCATAGGACACTCTCTCCAGAGCCTTGGTATGGTTCATGCTTGCTGCCTTTTGAAGATATCGATATGCTCTTTAAATGCAAGCAATTAAAAACAATTAGCAGTGTTTTGGTACTGCCTTTACAAGTTTTTTCAAGATCTATCAAAATGCTGTTTAAATAATGTCCTTATTTTAAGTAAGAAACTTGCTGATATTATTTTTACAATATAATTCAGCTTAGTTACACATGTAGAAATCTAAGGTGCCAGTTCTCCGGGTTATTCCAGTACCGGGGAATACTCTAATTACACTAGTGGTAACCCTAAAAACATCTAAAGCTTTGCAGTAAGAGGACTGTAATATGATGAACTCCAGTACGTAATCTGATAACTACTCTAATTTCTTTTTAATTCTTTGCACAGAATGTATCAAAAGTAGGCTGAAACAAACAGGCCCAAAATGTTAGAATATGATCACTTGTTTTATAATCTTTCCATGTGAAAATTCTTAAATTCCAGTTGAAAATTTAAAAGCAAAACTAAAAACTACACTTAATGATAATTTCTTTTGTTAAAACCAAGAATATATATGTATTCTTGGTTCTTAATAACTATGAGAATTTTAGTAAATTACTTTTACTTTTCTTACTGATCATTTTGATCAATATCTATCATCTTTTTATGCTAACAAGTTACAGTAAGTTAAAAGTAATGCTGCTAATTATACTACGTTTTCCTGAAGTGGACTTAAGAAATCTGTGTACCTGGCAGCAGTTTTTAAAAAAGGAAGTTCTTGGCTATTTATTTTAGTAAAAGACTTGTCTAGGGGCCAGAATGGAGTTGACAGCGGTACCTACTCTCTTATCTGGCTTTTCTTGTTGCTTCCGTTGAGGATTTTCATTCCAGTCTGATACAGCATTTCTGCTTCCTGCATCTGCCGTCTCTTAGCAGCCTCTTCTTCAGCTAAAAAATACGTCGCATACATTTAAATGGATTGTAAGTCTACACTGATTATTTATCAAACATCAGGATTTATTTTTTTAGAAAGTCACATAAACACTATGAACGATATACCATTATTTCCAAATGACTCTAAAAATAGCTTAAATGTGGCCTTTACTGATACAAGCTGAGACTTTCAAAACATATAAAATTTATTGAAATTACTTTCTTTTTTCTTTTAGTGCTGAGGACTCAACCTAGGACCTTAAACATAGTAGGCTAGTACTCCACTGCTAAGCTACATCTCCAGCCCTGAAATTACTTTCTTTTAAAGAAAACACTATCAACTCCTTTTGGAGGGTACTTTTTCTAATATTTTTAGATAATTCAACTAAAATTTGGGATTATACATTCAGGTTAGTTAAAATAAGAAAAGAAAAATATTAGTAAACAGTGTTCAGAAAAATACTGTTGTAATCAAAAAATATTTTAGCTCTGAAATGTGTATTTTATAAGGAAAAAGTAATTACATAATAAAAATTAAAGATGAGGTGGTGGTACATGCTTATAATCCCAGCACCTGGGAAACTGAGGCAGGAAGATCCCTGAGAGTGAGAGAATGGGCTACACAGTGAGTTCAAGGCCAGCCTGGACTATACAAAGAGACCTTCTCTCAAAACAGTTTTTTTCCCCCCTAAATATACGTAGACTTAGCATTTAAGTTCATTGATTTTCTCATACTAATTTCTCACATTCACTAATTAGAACTCTGAAAATCATAAACATTTTTAATGATTTTTCAAAATTATTTTGCTATAATGAGACATTTTAAATAGAAATACAAGACTCAACAAAATGCATGTATTTCATTAAGACCAGTATGTGTAGAAATAGAAGTGAATTCTTCCTGTAGTATAGAAAAATCTAAACTTCTCAGTCATACTGGCCTACTTACATTCAAAGTTTCCCTGGAAACACAGTTGGCCTGTAGAATTGTGCCTCTTTATTTATATTGACATTTACACTTAGCATAGTTGATTATACTACATTTGTCAAATGTTACATTAGAACAGCATATCTCATTCAAAGTATTTTACAAAGGTATTTTTCTTTTAATTACTATTAACTTTTATCATAAGAGTCTGTTTTCTGTATTGCTAAATATGTTTTATTAACTATTCTAGCAGCTTGCCTGAAGGGTTTACGAATCACCTGCGCAAAACCTTTTAAGTAAGACAAGAGTGTGCTAAGCTGTCTGGCAGCCTGAAAGTAACTGTACTTCCTTCCAGCCTCCCGTTTATTCTTTACAGCTATAAGCACATCAACGTGGCTATGTCTGACCAAGGTGGAAAAGCACGGACAGAGAACGGCCTTCACAGGAAGGCCTCACACACAAGCCACATGCGCGTGCGTCTAGTGCACAAGGCTTACTTTCACAGAAGCCCCACTTCTCATCAGTTTTGTAGTCGTAGGTTGTAGCACACCACAGTCTGCCGTCTTCCCTCCCATCGGAAGTACATTCATCATATTCCTTGTCCAGGAAAAGAAAAGGGAAGTGGCAGGGCTCCCCATGCGCTGTGCCTTCAATGGCAGTCAAGACTGGAAAGACAAGAAATAAAAATGTAAACACCACAACTCCTCTGGCATCCAGGGATTCACTGCAGTCAATTTCAGCTGTTAGAATCTACAGGAAAGGGTGGGGATTTAGCTCAGTGGCATAGGTGCCTGTCTTGCAAGTGCATGGTCATATGTTTGATCCCTGGGACAAGAAAAAAAAAAAATCCACAGGCAAAAATAAAATGATATACGCTCTGTCATGGGGGACATAAAAGGGCTGGTCCTCATTTTGATTAGGGAGGACTTAAGGTTAAACTAACAGGATGACTACTCAGATCTATTATCAGGCTTAGACATTTGAAATTGTAGAGATAGCCAGGGGTTTAGCTCAGTGGCTTACGTGCCTGCCCTGCAAGCACGGCAGTGAATTCAATCCCCGGTTTTAAAAAAAAAAAGTAGAGATACAATTTTAGAAAGTTAAAACTCCTGCTTAACCAATGAACAAAAAATAAAGCAAAATACATTGTACATCGGAATCAATTCCATTGCTCAGTGTAAACACCCCCCGCTCCCCGCCCAGTACGTAAAGCAACTTCTTGAGTAAGATGAAGTTATTCTGGCAAAATGCTAGTCCTAGGCAGAGCTAAGGACTCACAAGGTCCTCTGTGGTCCCACAGTATTTTATGACAGTACTTACCATACAAATACTAAAGTGATTTTTTTTTTTTAAAACCATACTCCAAGGGACTTTAAATTTTTTAGAGTGCCTGTCTATCAGGTAATAAGGGTTCAAAAGATAACAGTGGGTATTATTGTTAGTGGCACATGTACTCTGAAAGGCTATAAAGTATCTTTTCGTTCTCAGTGTTAAAAAAAACGGTTTTCAGTAAATTATGAAAAAAAAAATGAATTTCAAATGGCCTACCACCACGTAGATGTCATTTATCACGGTAGTAATCAATGAACAGAGGTAAGGTACTTCTTCACCTTTAATATACCCATGTTTTGAAGAAATTATCTTTCATGAAATATACAAAGTAACTATTAGCAATAACCTCTGAGGAGTATTAAAGACTTTGAAAAAGGCAGCCCTATGCATTGCTGCTTGATCCAAATTTGCTTTGGAAAGTACAGAATTTCAGCTCCTAAACCTGATTAACACATGAAGTTTGCAGTGATAGCTTAAGAGAATATTAAATTTTTCGATGATAAAAGAAATGTCTCAAAAGCAAGTAGCTTATTATTGAAATCCTAGTTCATCAAAAAGTACACTGTAATACAAAATAATTATCTTTTCATATGATAGAATAGTACACCAGAAAAAAAACCTGGACAGAACCAAAAGGATTTTGGCAATGGAAGGTTTTAATCTCCTGCAGATTCAGTACTAACTTAAGCAGGAAGAATCCCTGGATGCACCCACTTCACCAATTCAGTCAAAACTGAAATCTGTCAAAATAATGTCTTTATCAGCGAGTTACTAGAAAAGAAATTTTGCATCTCTCAATTATCTTCTCCAAGCCTTCATCATCCTGTAATGAGCTGATTAATATAATATGCAGTATCTATTATCTGATTATTATAATATGCAGTATCTATAATATGCAGTATCTATTTAATGTGTGTGAAGATGGGGACAACTATTTGGAAGAAACTAGAGACAATTAGATAAACAGTGAAGATCTCCAGTGGACTTGGTTTGAAATCTGTATTTCTTTAAATTGTTTCTTTTTGAACTGTTTTGTTCTGTTTTGATATGTTCAATCTTACCCTCTTCAAGATAAAAAACAAGTGTGTAGGACTGATAAACATATTTACTAAGTTTTTGTTAGATCATTGAACAGAACTGTTGGCAGTGTCACTATTTGAATGTCACTTTACATACTTTAGTTTTGTAACCTGAAAAACTATTTCTAAGATGACAATATGTAACTTATCAACTGGTGATTTCTTACCATTTATTTTTCTGTAATTCTGTATTATTACTACCCTTTTTTTTTTATCTCCATGTATCTTTTTTGTTTCCTTCTCTTTAAATAATAATAATAAAAAAGAATTTTAATTATCCTCTCCAAGTAAAATCACAATCTGGAAATTGTTACTACATTTTTAAACTTCTTTAAAATATTTAAAAGTTACTGACTGGGACTTTCTAGCTTCAGGTCATTTATCTGAGGTAGAAATTCTTCAAAATAGTGTTAATTTCATTATTAATTTTTTTCCATGGAGACCTGCAACAATTTCAGAAGTACCTTTTAAAAATCTCTATAAGATGGCATTTATTTTATTTTTTTGGTACTAGAGATTGAACTCACAATCTCAAGCTTGTCAGGCAGGCACTTGTACCACTGAGCTAAACCTTTGGCCTGATAGTACCAATTTTATTTTATTTATTTATTTATTTTTTTTTGTCTTTTTCCTTTTTATCGGTACCAGGGATCGAACCCACAACTGCCTGCTTGCAAGGCAGGTGCTTATGCTGCTGAGCTAAATCCCTAGCCCCGATAGTACCAATTTTAAAAATAAGGTAACTTCTCTTTTGGTATAACAAAGTTGACTGAGTATGCAATTTTAATTAATGATAACCAGTAATCAAACATGACACTTAAAATGAAAGGGAAAAATGTGTCATTAAGTTAAGTATGCAACTTCATGTAAAACTTCACATTTTTTAGATAAGGAATCACAGTTTAGTTCTATAATAATGACATCATAATCTATTTACATGTCAAAGTATACCTTATGGTACATGAAAATTTACAATAATAATGAATAGACCTCTGTGTATTTAGTAGAAATGTGCTCTTGCAAAGTAGATTAAAATTATTTAAGAAAGCTAGAAAAAATAAAAAATAATAACAAAGAACCTCCACCTGAAAATAGAGCTGTCAAGTGTAGAGGTAAATGTGCATTTTCATATTGCTAGCAGCAGTGTAAATTAGTATGACTTCTCAAAGAGACATTTAGCACTATGTATTTCAAAACGTACATAACAAAAAACAAGTGATTCTTAATATCAATATTTGTGCAAAAAATTCTTAGAATTTAAAATTCTAATTCTAAGATTCTAGAATCTTAAACATTTTTTTTTTCTTTTTGAGTCATAGTCTTGCTATGTAGTTTAGGCTGGCCATGGGTTCACTATGTAATCCAGACTAGCCTCCAATTTGCAGCAATTCTATCCGGAAGACACAGAGGAAGCAGCATTTGAGAGTCAAAAGCATGTTTAGAGACAGGAACAAATCCTGGTGAGGTTTCACGAAGATGACAATGAAGAGTGGACCACGTAGCTAGCAGTTAGAATGCGACAGATGGAGAAAACGCTTAACTTGGCTTCAGCAATCACTTGTCCTAATCCTATTATTTAAGAACTGAGAAAACCAAAGTCTTTCCAATATTTTAAATTCTAAGAGTCTCTGTTCCTAGCTTTTGTGCAAGGCTGGGGACCTGATTTCCAATACGGCCTTCAAAACAATGTCAGCAAATCCATATTCAGAAACAAAGAACAAATAAATGAAAATAATATAAATGGTTAAAAGAAATTTATTGTTGTCCGGGAACATGCCACAGTAACTTTTTTTGGGAAAAATACCATGTTACGTAATTTTCTACAAGTGGACTGCTTTTACCAAAAGTTGAGAAGTGATAAATACAGCTGAGGAACTACATCTGTGACTAAAGGCATTTCGTTTACAGATTAAAATCTTTTTATCAGGAAAAAAGAGATATCACAAGAAGAATGAGCAAAATGTAAGAGAGTTCACGTAAAGTTCAGCTTTCTCTGAGAAGTAATTAATCATTTAAAAGTAGAAACAAAAGAAAATACTGGTCTATAGGTCCAATACAAAGTGACAATGTTTATGACAATCAGGTGACACTGTCAAAAACCACAGAGTTACCACAAGAGTGCAACCTACCGAGGAAAACTGCTCTCTACTGAAGTTTCTGAACATGATGGCTTTAAAGGAAGCTCTTTTGCACTTTAGAGGATGGTGGGGTGGGTACGGTACTTCTCTACAGGGATGGGGCCCTGAAAGAGTTTTCTTGCACAAATAATTTCTTGTAGAACCAAAGAAAAAGCAGTATCAACAATGGCAAACCAAAACCCAAACCAGCTTTCCACTAAAGTCAGAAGCAGCTGCAGCTGCTGCCTAGGCTTTCTTTCCTGCTCCACCTTCTGTTTATTCTGCTCACCAGGTGGGGGCCCTCTTTCCCTGCCGCCCACAGGAGTAAGGGAGAAGAGGGACACCGGGCTGCTAATCAATCTGCTTCCTTTGGAACCTGACTTCGGAAGTTTAAACTTAATTTCTTTTGTGTTATTTGTGACAGATCAAGATGCTGATTATTCTATTTAATTTTTATTTTTCTTTTTAAAACAATATGGATGTCTTTATTGCACAAGATAATTCAAACAATAGGAAAACATACAAAATTAAGGAAGAGCCATGGTCACTGTAACCCAACACCTCAAATTCTGCCTCCAGAGGTAATGCTTGTTAGCAGAAAAGAAGGTTTGGACCTTTTTCCTTTCATTTGCAAACATGACCCCCATCACCCAGTTGATCTATATGATTAATTCTGTGTATCAATCTGGCCGTGCCAAAGTGTCCAAAGTGGTCATCATTCTGCATGTTTCTGGAAGGTGATTTTTAGATACGATTAACACTTATATTTGTGAACTTTAAGCAAAGCAAATTACTCTTCATAAGGTAGGTGGATCTCGTCTAATCATTTAAAGTCCTAAACAGAGCAAACACCCTGAACAAGAAGATATTCTGCTAAACAGAGTGCCTTTGTTTCTGTTTCTCAAGACAGCTCTAACACAGTATACGTGAATTATTTTGCAATGTCACTTTCATTTAACACATCACTGACATAGGCTGAGAGGGCATGATGGCAGCATTCCAGTAGCACCTTCTGGGCAGCTTCTACTCTTCCTCAGTAGGTACTTCTGATTAGGACAGCCACCTCTGGGTTTGTGGGACAGACACTGAGTATGAAGCTGCTCTACTGAGGAGGTGAAACAGGAAAGAGCGAGCTGA